ACTTTTGAAATTTCTCCGGTATACAAGACAGACCGTATGGTGTGCGACGGTACGCGAACGTCCCTATGTGGGTGGTTATCGCGGTAACGGCTTGAGAATCCTCAGATAGCAAACATTGTTCGTATGCATGAGATAAATCGATTTTAGTATATTGTATACCTCCTTAGAGCAAGCGAATAACTCACAACGAGGTAGCGGATAAAAGTCTCGTTTTAATTTAGGATTTATCGTTATCTTATAGTCCCCACAAATACGTATGTCTCCATTCTTTTTTACCACGGGAACAATCGGAGTCCCATAGTCCGAATATTCTACGCGATAGATGGAGCCGTCTGCCTCGAGTCGGGCTAACTCGCGTTCGACTCTCACGCGCAACGCGAGCGGTACGGGTCTCGCTCGCACGTAAACCGGTTCGTTATCGCACAGCCGTAATTGAATTGAGTTCTTGCAAGTACCTAGCTTGTCACAGAAGACCTCAGGATATTCTTTCTGCAATTTATTTACAAATGAGTCGTCTAAGATTTCATTTAGTTCAATTTGAGAAATATTTAATGCGCGCATCCAGTCACGCCCTAGCAAAGGACAGGCACCTCCTTTTATAATATATAAAGGCAATGACTTAACTTTCGTACCCCTAACTGTACGTCTACTTCAATATATCTAGAGATCAATTCGAGATCCCGAGTAGGAACGCAACATTAAATTATCAGATACAACTGACTTATGTAAAAACATTACTCTATAGGTATCCTCATTTCGCCGATATACGGCTGCCCGTATCGACTTCACAACGAATAACATATTTATCTACGTCACATTAACAAAGTTGGTTACCTTTAGACGACACTTGTAGATTAAATAAACCCTCGTCCGACTCTTCGAACACGAAATTATGTCGACCATCACTGCACTTACACATCACTTTTAAGTGCCCCGCTGGCCACACTGATCACAATTTAGTGCTTGAACCTACACTTACTGGAGCATGCGCTTTCCGCAGGCCAGCACGGGCGCGCACCCTGGCCTAAAGCCGGTTCGCCGCCGTCCTGCCTGCGCGCCGAGTCCCACGCGCCCCGGGCGCCCGTGGATTGCGCGCGTGTCGCTCCGCGCGACCTCCGCCGGTCGCGCGTAGTGCAAGCCCTCGCTCCTCGCCCGTCGTCCCGGATATCCCCGCCGAAGGCCCGGTGGCCCCGCTCACCTCCGCATGCTTTTCAGCGGCTTCCAATGCGAGCGCTAGTTCCACCGCCTCTTTATAGGTGATTTTCTTTTCAGCAAAAATCCTTGCACGCATTGCGTATTGGCTAAACCAGATACAAATTGATCCCTTAAGTTTTCCTCCAATGTTTGCAAGATTCGCATTTTCCAAAATTACAATTTGTGCGAGATGTTTCAGAGATTGTAAATATTGGTCAACGTTTGCCCTTGTGTTGCCGCCTTAGTCTAAAAACATGGCGTCGGCGATTTCTGAGCGTGTCTAGGTGCCATGACTTCGAGCTCCTCGTACGTCGTATTTTCAGGAAATCGCGGTGCAAGAGATCACACATCAACGAATACGTTCTTCGCCAACACGTTATTAACATGGGCACTTTTAGTTCGTCCTTGACACCATTTAACTTTATAAACTGATTTACGCTCGAATATACGCCGGCCATTGCTTAGATTTTATGATAAATGGTTCAATTTTACCGATGGACATCTTGAAATACTACCTCGCAACAACACAAATTTGGAAATTCCCGATCTCGTCGCAAGATACGTCAATTAAACGCGGGATCCATAGAACAACAGTTTATTAAGAGACCTACAAACTAACACAATAGAACTAACTACTAATCTACCGACATTCCATTTCCATTTTCCATCCAATTTATTAAACATTGAATACATCAAATTATCTATACTAATATATAAAGCTGAAGAGGTTTTTGTTTGTTTGAACGTCTAACCATATATTTCAATTAAAAATTATTTTTTTTGTTGTTAACATTTATAGGAAGCCTAATGCTATACCCCAAAAAATTGTATCAAGCAATGATTCTCTTTAATGATAAAAATTACTATATGTCGCGACATCTATCTTTAAAGGTTAACTTGCAAGAACGACGGGGAGGGACGCGACTGACGTAGTGGGTAAAAACGAATTTGGATGACGAAAATAACGATTCTCGCGGACGAAGTCGCTGACACAGTTAGTATTGAATAAAAAAAGTAATATAAACGAGTATAAATCGTCGTTTTTGAAAGACTAAAAAATATAGCAGTATGTAACTCAAATTAAAAACTGAAAATACCCGTACAGGACTTGAACCTGCATTGTCGTTCTCGCGGACTCGTTAGTACTTGTTTTGCTTAGAATACATAATAAAAACATTATGTTGGACAGTAAGACTTTTTCAACGCATAATAAATCGTCTTTCAAGAGTTTGAATCATTATCTAGGTCCTTGATGCGGGCCCAAGTTAATTATCCATTAGTTAAGATTAATAGTGAAATTAACGATATAGTTAAGGGGTAACCTTAAACTAAATTATACTTTGAATAATAGGCCCTAACGAGCCTCAACTGACCAATAATTTATTTTATTAATTACTCTTCATCTAGCCTTTGAAACAATGCTCAGGGATAAATTAGTTTCATCTAGAACAAAGGTTCTCTAGTGAATCAACTGCAATGTAAGCTTAGGCATCAATTAAATAGAAATTCTAGGCCTCTAACAAATTCTATGGACGTCATCTACGGATTAATTAACGTACGTTGAAATTAAACACTTTAACGGTTTAAAACGCGATTTAATAGTAGTTAAAATTATTTTAACTACGAGAGACGTGTCTCCCCGTGACCACGGCTGCGACAGGGTAAAACGTCTGGCTGTAGTATAAATAATTATCAAATAAGTTTAACTAATACAAGGCGCGTTTTAAACCGTTAAAATGTTTTATTTAAATGTGGACTACTCGCGTAATACTTAGTACAGACAGTTTTGAAATCTTTTATTTTTATAACAAGACAAAGATTTTCCCATCTTCTATCTCGTATGTTACCAAGAATTTCTTATTGAAACCACCAAAAATAGGACTTTTTCGATATCATCGTAATCCCATTAATTACCTAAAACAAATTAGCTATCTTAGGAACAATGAGAATCAATCAGCCACCCTAATCTTTCGACTGACTAAGCCTTATCGCCATGTAAGGACATTTACTTAATTACTATCAAAGATAGCTATTGTTTTGGATATAATGAAAAATAAGAAAGCGTGTTTTCACTTGCTTTGTCTCAAAATCGCGTTAAATAGGACTGTCGTCACTCTAGGGGCAAATAATTTATAGTTTTTTATTTACTGGTAATAATTTTTTGGTTTTTAAAATTTAGTAGTATAGAATTCGAAAACTGATAGTATAGAATTTCTTTTTATTTGGAGAGAATTATTCAATCGTCACATTATTCTCGCTAAAAAAATCACAGATTTCCGTTACAGTCCGTAACGAATTGTAGTTAGTCCTGGGTTTGAATATTGTTCGAGCATCATTCGTGAGCGAATCTAATGAAACGTAAAAAAATAGCGTTGTACAGACAATTTACGCGAATAGAACAAAATTAAGTTACATACTTGTAACGCTTTAAAATGCAAAATATAAACGTTAATCAATATATTTAAACTAAAACTTTAACGGTTTAAAATGCGGTATGCATTTAGTTTAAAATTACTTTCGATAACTTATTTTAAATACAGCCCTACGTTTCGGATGCTTGGATGCAACGGAGCCGTGGTCACGGCTACTGCAAACTTATTCGGAAATCCAAATACTTACGTTTCACTAATTTATATCGCGTTTTAAACCGTTAAAATGTAATGTTTAAATGTGTACGTACTTGCGCAAACTACAGTCAGTATTAGATTAACTAATATATTTTGCATTTTAAGCCGTAAAAGTGTTTTACTGAAATAGAAAAAAAAAAAATCTAAATATCCGAACTCTGGATCTTTTTAATTCTATCGAGTTCAATTTACATCGGATCCCTTTAACAAATATTTCTCATTCTATAATTACTGTGAATAACTTCACAGCATTTCGCTAAGAATACTTCGTAATGAAGCGAACTTGGGAAAAAAACTTCGATTTGAACCGCACCGTTTATTCTTGAACTCCTGACCAACTTGTCGAAGTTTCTTACGTTGTTGGAGCTGCCTTGCTCCCAGTGGTACTAACTGAATTAGAAAATAAAAGAACTAATAATACTAACTTGCTAACTATGAGAAATCTCTTATTTATATATATTATAAATAGGTCATAGATGTAAATTATACATACACGTATTGGTAACCTATAATTTTAATCTAGCTACTTAGCCTGGCCACTTACTGGAGTTTATTGTCAGTTCTTCTCGTTCGTTCTACGCCCTTGATTTGAGACCTGGTAGTAAATGAAAATTTAGATTATTTAGTTTTGTGACGTTCATAAGTGTAAATAATTACCTACATGAATAATATTATTTTCGACTTTGACTTTGACTTCTTCCTTCGCCACATGAAGTATTTCCACCATAATTCGATTACCGTAAAACGATTTTTAAATTCTTAAAATAGATATATGTTTTTTTCTTATTTTTAAATGGAATATCTTTTTTGGTCCTTGCTGCGGTCCAACTTTTTATTGTACAGAAAGTATTAAACCGTTTTCAATTTGTATATTTATTGAGTTGTCTTGTTAATTAGTATAATGTTTAACTACAATAATTATTATTTTCCATTAGTCAAAAGAGAGGGGTTTAGAGACAACTTTATTTTATTTTTTTATTTAACATTATTAATTATAATCACAATGGGATTTGTTATATGAATACTAGCATATAAATAAAAGGCGGCCTTATCGCTAAACAGCGATCTCTTCCGGGCAGCGCACTCTGTCTTACTTACGAAATATAAAAGGTATTCTGTTTTGCCATACATTTTTTATTATTTGTACACGTGTGTATAAAAGCAATTGATTTTATGATGTTACAGTTGCGCGTTGATCCAAGTAAGAAAAGCCGTCACCCTCGTGTAGACAGAAGGCGTCCCCGCCTGACAGCTGTCTCCCAAACCGAACGACACTATTCCGATCTGAAAATAACAAAACTCTGTTTACTCTACGTTTTTCCGTAATTCAATGTGTCGTGATCGATGTCAGAAGTTCGCAACATTTTTTAACTCTTTTCAAAAGCTTTGACGGGCGCGTTGGTGCTAACGGGTCGTGAGTTAGATCCTCAGCGGGTCCAACAAGTTTTTGAAACATGATGGACTTTGGAAATCTGATATTAAAACTATCGCTTAATCAGTTAATCGCGTTTTGGTTTCAGTTAGTATTCCGAATATTCTAAGCCAAAATAGGTAAACTAGGGCATCTTCTTTGGATACATGGATGGAAACCCCATTTTTGTCTGTCCTCCTCTATCAGAATACCTACTTAATGTTTTTAGAGAGTTTCATTGACAATTTGATGGAAACAGACATGGTAGCTCAGTTGGTAGATAATCGATTACTTAAACTAGTATTGACTTTACATCAAACCGGCTTTATCTACTTTTTCACTATCTTCAATACTATCTCAATTCCTGAATGTGTTATCATCTATACATTTTAAACTTTTATAAAAGCCATTCATACCAGAGTTCTTTTATTATTGACAACAGCTGTTAATGGGCCTCCAGAATCTCCCTCACAGGTGCCAACACGGTTTGCCCCGTCAGTGCAAAGATGGCTGCCGTGAATAGCAACGTCAGAGAAGCTTCTCTGACATACAGCATTTGTCAAAACTTTTAGAGTTACGTGGTGTAGCTGAGTCGTCTGAGGGAAACCTGTTTGTGCTGACAATAATAAAAATGTAAATTAACGACAAATAATATTACAGTTTAAACATATTTAAAATGAAAATATAAAATTATTAATTTAGGTTTTTTAAATAAATTATTTAAAATCGTCAAGGTGGTTTAGCTTAATGTGTACTACTCGTACTAAACAAAACAGTATTTTATTTTTAATTTTCTATAAAATTTCAATAATTAATAAAAATTACATAATTTATTTCACTTTTTTTCCACTTTAATATTAGTCATTGAGATTTATTTTGGCAGTTTTGAAGGTTGCCACTAAATAAATTAACTGCTGGTCAAACACATGTAATTATATTCATTATAAGTACACACTAGAACGACCTAAACCCCCCATAAATTAAAAAGGCGAAAACCTACCATCACTCATCTTTCCAAATCCCGTAGCAATAGCTGTTACTCCAGCGAAAATGTTATTCACATCTGACATAGCCGGCAATGGAATAGCTTGGATATTATCTGTAATTAAAAATTGATTGAACCTTCACTGGCAAATAGAAATGATTTATCAACATATAGATAACTATAAAAAAACAGTGAATACATTGCTGACATATTTTGGTTTATTTTCTACATTGTAACATATAATGCATAGACAATAATAGCAAAGCTTCCAGCTTTCCAACATAAAAAAGGTTCGATCAGACAGGACATTTGCTTTTTCTGGTGCGGTGGGTATCCGAAAGGATTCCTCACGAAAAAAAAAGACATGATATACAACTTACAAGTTATATATATAATCAAACTTTTGTTTTAGTTTTGTAACCTTTTCGTTTTGACTGTACTTATTTATTCTGTAAATACAAAGTTACAACTTACTATTAAATTGAACTCTGGAAATTTTAACCACTGCTATATCGTTTACAATGTCTTTCGTATTCCAAGATGGATGCACTACAATATCGCTAGTTGCCAACCTAGTGCCTCCAGAGAATATTTTTAACGACCCTAACACGATGGTGAAGGTACGCGCCTGGCTCTGTCCGTCCCACCAGCAGTGGGCTGCTGTAACTACCCGAGTGTTAGAGACCAGGGTACCTCCGCATATCGACGTCCAGCCACTTGTAAGGGTTGCCACAATACCAGCCTGTAACCAACCAACTCTCTAAAGTCTGTCCAGTTTATACGAATATTATAAAGTAGACGAGTTTGTTAGTTTGAATGCGCTTATCTCAGGAACTACAATTTCGAATTTTGAAATTATTAATTTTGTATTGGTTAAAGCGTTTATCGAGGAAGATTTTAGACTATAACACATCAAGCTGCAACCAATAGGAGCGAAGAAACGAGGAAAGGAGGGAAATGTGGAAAAAATGGGAATAAATATTCATCTTTGAATCTTTCTGTTGCGTGCGCTGCGAAAACTCGAAACTCTATTAGGCTATATATGCAAGAATTCTTCTTCTTTAAATGATCTACAAAATGTCTTTGACTGTGTATGTCTTTTAAATAAAACATGTTAACGGTTTTAAACGCGATATGTTAGTTACACTTATTTGAAAACTATTTTGATGAAATTAAATACTGTATATTAATCAAGGGAGACTATATTTAGTAAAATATAAAGAAAATTAACAGACAAAATCTACACTAATGTCACAAATACTGTCTGTAGTATACGCGAGTAACATTTAAGTAACCTGTCTGTCTCTCCGTGACCACGGCTGCTGCAAAGCGTCCGAAACGTCGGGCCGAAGTTAAAAATCATTTTCAAATAAGTTTAACTAATATATCGCGTTTTAAACCGCTAAAGTGTTTTATTTGAATGTGTACTATTTGCGTAAACTATAGACAGTATTTAGTATATGTCTAACTTTTAAGATTAACTCGTGAGAACAGCAACAGAACGTTTTGCTGGATCAGCGAGTACCTATATTACAAAAAGTGCAAGATAAGTTTGCGTACGTGATATGGATATATCATAATGCTGGGCACTTGCTGTCCTCCAATGATCCTGGAAGTCTCCTGCTGCATCAGGTGTTCCGCCTGCTTGATTCCCACATCCTTATGATATCCTAATCCAAAACCACAGTCACTTACACCCAGTAGGACGATTACAAACTTATAAATATCACAGAGCGTGCGCATTGTTTGAATAATCACTACATAATAAATTGTAGTAATAACGATTACTAGATATACAATAATAATATTATAATTAAAAGTTTGACTATTTGCAATTTTATATGATTTAATTATCTTTAACGTATTATTAGTTATGAAATCGGCATATTTGAAAGTCGTATTTTATTTCTATTCTTTGTTGTTTCTTTTTATAGCTAGTATAATTACTTAAAAAATAATATTGGTGCGAAAACGCCGTCCATACTATTGATTTCTTATGTGTAATTATATGAATAACGATAGATAAGAGTTTAAAGAACTATAATCTAATCTATTTTACTTTTGTTCAAGTATCTACTGTCTGGAAGCATAATAATGCAAACTGTATTGCATACTTCATAATAAACCAATATATTTATTGACGTAAAATTTTCCAATCATTGTATAATAATATGGTAGTCTATCCCAGCTTTATATATTTTTTTTAAATAACCAATTGAAAGACTTAAACAATAGAATAAATAAATAAACAAAATTTCAAAGAGTCAAACGAAACGTTGCAATTTAACCTTTTAAGGTCAGAGGAGAACCAGTGGACAGATGGTAATCTCTTACTGAAGATAGGATTTAAAACGTCTACCATGCTACAGTACCTACAGGTTGGTGGGCAGTTCATAGATTGGTAAAAACACAAAAGGGGGTTTTAATTGATGTTTACGTTATTTAAGTTATGTTTAAACGTATAAGTTATGTTTAAACTATTATTCTTATTAGTTATATTATAAATTCATCATAAGTAGCAGCTTGATCTTTTGTACGATTAAGCTGTCGTCGATAAATGGTCTAACCCACACAAAATTATTTTTTTTAATTTAAACCATTCGTTTCTGAGAAACAAACAAATTCTTTAGCTTTATGATATTCAAATAAACCACTTAAACGGTTTAAAACGCGATAAATATTAGGTTAACTCGTTTGAAACTTATTTTAACTACGGCCCAACGTTTCGCATGCTTTGCAGCAGCTGTGGTCACGAGGAGAGTCTCAGGTTATTTATATGTTACTCGCGTACCAGACAGTTTGTGACATTAGTATAGATTTTTTCTGTTAATTTTCTTTATATTTTGCTAAATATACTCTCCCTTGATTAATATACAGTATTTAATTTAAATAATATTAAACGTAAGTATTAATTAAGGTAATTTGTAGCCACGGCATTAGCTTCGTACTATCAAGTCACGAACGCAGCCCTTCGCACTCTTTGTCACCGGACGCCGGATTCATTATGGCTCCGATTACTTCAAAGGACCCTTTTGCATATAATTTTATTTAGTCTGAACAATTGCTATAGCTTAAGGTAGAGCTATATATAGCGCAAAGGGTATTTGTGTCTTCAAAGGTTTCGTAATAACAAATGGAAATTAATTAATAACTTACGTAAGATTTTCGAACTTAAATTAACGTTATATGTACTAGAACTAACGAGTTATAAGTATTTATAATGAGATAGAAGAATGCTATTTAATAGTTAATTCATATTCTTGTAGACAACATAAAAAATGTAATCCTCGAGAACTCTATTTTGCGTTATGTAAACCGGTGTTAAAAAATATAGTCATAACTCCGAAACGAAAACATTTTATAACATTTACATAAGTTAAAATGAATGAAATGAGTACGTCAATACATTGAAAGATAATCGTCTCTTTTAGATATTTTGAAGAGAAATAATTATTTTGCATATTGTTTATAGTTTCTCAAACCGTTTTCACAGAGGAAGCAACGAGAGACCTATAAAGAATAGCTATACCTGTTTTATCCACAGTTATATTCTAAAAACTTCCTCGATGAATGGTCTATCCAACACAAAAATACTTTTTAAATTCGAACCAGTAGTTTCTAAAATTTTTTCAAACAAACAAACTCTTCGGCTTTATAATATCAGAATACACTTTTAAACTTCATTCTTTAGTCAGTGGAGATTTGGCATTCTTATCTTGTTTCCTATTTCCTAATAACCCTAAACATGTTCTAGTCAATGTGGTTACAACTACGTCACAAGTTCGATTCTGTAATACGACGTCAAGTACTCGCTAAAGATAGTGGAGTATCGTGATCTCGTCTCAAGGACGCATTTAGAAATAATTGGAATACCACGATCTTGTAGCGCTCCGAGCTGTAAGAGGCGCTGAACTTCATTTTAGGGATGTGCAGAATTTCACACTTAATTTGACTAACAAGCAGTGGCCGCGACTTTGTCCGCGTAGAATAGTTATTTTGGGCATGAAAATTAGTTTTTGCAAACCTCCTCTTTATTAGCTGTTACCCACGACCACGTCCGCGTCCCGTCGTTCTTAGAAGAGATAATCTTTAAATAAAGTCATGTCACTGTCAAAACAATACAGTTTCGGACATTTTTTTAGATCATTTGAAGGGGACTCATTCCTTCATACATATTTTTTTGGTATCTTGAACCGTTTTTGCGGTTAACAATCAATAGTTTTCTCCGTTTATTCCACAATTCCGACTGTTTCTTTGCTACTATTGGTCACAGCATGATGTTTTATAGCCTAAACCTTCCTCGATAATATGTTTCAATTCAAACTAGTAGTTCCTGAGATTAGCGCGTTAAAACAAAGTCTTTAGCTTTTTAATATTGTAGTATTCGATTTAACTAAGACCGTTTTTTAATGTATCAGGTAGGCCACGAAACAAGAAAGTGATGGCATCGACACACGCATATTGAGCAGCTTTACCGGCATTTTTAAGAAAAAAAATTACTTATAATTTTCAAAAAACAGAAGCTGTATCGATAAAATCTTCGCGACTACGGCACATCACTATGATCGAAAACCACTACAAATATTTCACAATATCAATATGTAGCTATGTAGTTTATGTATTTATTGAATACAAAACTTCTATATTATGCCTCTTACAACTATTAAAACAGCTAGTCTAGTCTACTTCAGCTACTTCCACAGTGTTATGACATATGGCATACTACTGTGAGGTAACGCTGCTGAGATTGAATGTATATTTGTGTTGCAAAAAAGGGCGGTCCGGGCTATCTATGGTATGGGATCTCGGGAGTCATTAAGAGACACCTTTAAAAATATCGGCATACTTACTGTGTACTCGCAGTATATTTATGAAAATGTATTGTATGCCCATAAGAATAAAAGCAAGTTTAGCAAGAATAGTGATAGGCATCATTTGAACTTACGAAATAAGGATAAACTAGCTATCCCCAAATATAGGCCCCATAAAATATCTAATTTATTTGCGGGGAATTGTATTCGTATGTATAATACATTGCCAGTCAAGATTTCAAATTTATCGATAAATAAATTTAAGAAAGTTATAAAACTTAGATTGCCTCAAAAGGCGTATTATTGTCTGAACAATTTCTTTAATGACAAGACCGCCTGGCAGTAATATGAATTGCTCCTGTTAATACATTTATATAAATGTAAAAAATTATAAACATATTTTAAAAAAGCCGCACTGAGTTTCTTGGGTATTCTTCTCAGGTATGTTGCTCTTTTGAACACGACGAACAGACAGACAAACGAAAAAAAAATTGACGAATCTAAATATTTTTTTAAATTTCAAAGAGAATAAAGTATATCTTATTTTATTTTTATCTATGAATATAGAGCAATAATATAATCTAACAAGTTTTAAGAATTAACACGAGTCTGAGGTTTGTATTCGTCATGCTTGTCATGCAATGTTATTAATTACTTTGGCAATTATGAACTTACATGAATTGACTTAACAGAAATGTGATTATTCATATTTAAATATTGGTAAATAAATGTTATAATTGAACGTGCATGTATCAATTGACGTGTACGACACGGTAGTTCAGTTGGTTAGAGTAACAGCACGGAACGCTGCGGAGACCAGGTCAAGTCCTGCCCGTGTGGTATTTTTTTACTTATTAATCGGTTTTTTTATTTATACAGTACCATCATGTGCAATATCAAGCAAAAATGTTAAGTGTTCAAGCAAAATAACATGTTGCGCATTATAATCTTAAGTTATTTCTTTTATCTTTCCACCACCCATTTGAATTTCGAGACCAGTATATTTAATTTTTATATTGATTTAAAATTAATTTCATTTATGACTTAAGATCAGTTGATGTAATCAAGGGATCATCACGAGTATATTTCAGCAGAAAAAAGTATTTAATATTCTCTGTTCGGTGTGCCAATAGCAGAGAGAGTTATTTAATCTGAATCTACTGTATCTGTGAGGTTGAGATTAATTCAGCATTTGTATTCTAGCCGCTGAAACAACATAAGATTAATATTCAGCGTAGGCTCTGCAGATTCGCTGCAAAGTTATAGTTATTTGTGTTTCATCAAGATAGCGCGAGATCATTTTGACACTGATTGCTTATCATGTTTGTGTTTTGTCTTTACTTATATGTATCGTTTATATCCACTGTATTGTTTGATACAAGATACATGTATCAAACTCCACGTGGTCAACTACAAGTACTAGATTCAATATTTTGACAATAGTATAGGAAATTATGTATTCCACTACACTATTTCTACTTCCTTAAAACACTAAGTACATAAATAGCAATATTACTATAATTGTATTAAAATTAGCGGTATTTAAATAACACACTTTTAACGGCTTAAAACGCGAAATATATTAGTTAAGTTAATTACGAAATATTTCAACTAGATACGGTGGAATATCGAATGTGTGTTCTCGCAACACGTCATTGACACCTAGCCTTTTCAAGAGAGATACGAACGTTTGAAGAATACATGGGACGTACCTATTCAACGGTTTATTCTTTATTGGGTTATAGGTGTAAGTTAAATTAATTTTTCCCTGTGCATGGTCATGGGGCGGATAGATTACTTGATCCCATTTGACTGAGACTATATATATGTATTTAATTTTTCAGAAATCGAGCTAATAATCTTTTAAGCTTAATGCAATGCCGACACTATAAATATCTATTTATAATGCAATGCTAGTGAATACGTTCCCAT